ACTGCAAGACAACAAGTGGAATCATCTTCGAGGGCCATTCAAGGAAGTGCAGTGGAATAAAATGGAAGGGCGCAACTTTGTGTATAAAATGGAACTCCTCATGGCCGCCCTAACTCCATGTTAATAATCTGTCAGCCTCTCCGTGGGGGGTTTGAATCATCGCTGTGCAGCGAACTATCACTGCCCGTGCAGCAAAGGGAAATCAAACCTATGGGGCAATACAAGAAAGCAAACCCAAATTTATTTCCTGTACAGATATGTCCATTGTAGTGTTTGTAATAAAACTTTTTTCGATGACATAGAAAACACAACTTTCTGAAAAAGTTCCTTTCAGCTGTATCTTTGCAGATTACTCTATCTAGAGTAACATAGCTGAGTAATTAATGTATTTTTCTTTTATAAAATTAAATTCAGTAGTCCTTTGCTACATGAAAGGTGTCTGCTCGGAGTCATTCCCTTTCCCCTCATGCCCCTACTTTTTCGCAATAAATCTTTGCAAGTATTTCTGAAAGATGAAAATTATTAGAACTGAACTGTGCTATCGACAAGCCTTTTAGTGGCTTAATACCACAGGGAGTGGCTATCCTTGTGGAAACTAACGGACTCATTTGATGAAAATTGGGACAACAGAGGAGAAGCAGAGCTCCCTTGTCAAAAATTAAGGCTAAACAAAACTTAAGATTCAAGTAGCAGTCTTCACTGCATGATGTTCTTGAGTTGGGGTTTGTTTGTGTTAACTGTACATAGATGTGGCTTCTGGGTGACCCATTTCTTTTTGAGAGAGAGATTTACTTAGCGATTTGTTTGAGAGCATTAAGAAGTCACAGCTTGTGGCAAATGCCTTTCCTGTCTGATGCCTATAGATGAGCCTATGTGGTGTCGGTTTACTTTGCTTGTGTTTTCTGTCCTTATTTTTTGCAAGCATGTAGAGGAGAGAGCCTTCCTCTGCTTGCAAAGTTCTGACAATTTGAGTTTGTGGGTGACTTGTGTAAATTCATGTCTGGATAGAAGCAGGTAACTCTTGTGCAGTAGACCTTGGATCTCCACACTTGTGCTGTTCTTTATTTTTTTTTTTTTCTGCACTGGCACTGATTATCATCCAGGGAAACAATAATACCCTCCTGAAGATCAGCTCTTTTGAGTTCTTTTAAAATAAAAAAAATCATGTCTTTTTTGGTTGTAATTGTAGCCTTCTTGAAGCTTCTAGTAAGGTGTTGCACAAAGCTTTTCTTTTGTTTGATGATTGATTGCTAAAGGTCTTTCTGAAACCTGTCTGTATGAACTGGTTCAGACTTAAGTCTATATTGTGTCTTATGAGGGGTGTGTGTATATATATGAGAACTTGCACATAGAACATGTTTGAATTGAACATCATACTTGTATGGTGACAGTTGGTATTTTGCTGTATTCTTGAGCAATAAATAATAGTTGTAGGAAATACATATTAAGCAACTGCTTGTGGCAAGCTGCTGCTCAGTGTGTATCCAAAGCAGCTATTGTACTTATGTTGGTGTTTGCCAGTGTGGAACATCTTGTTATTTCAGTTCCTTCTTGCTTCTGTGCAACTGAACTATGGAAGAGAAAGGATTTTCCTTTCAGCTTCTGATGAGTTACCCAAGACAACTTAACAAAAATGAAAAAAATACTAGTGGAAAATAGTCTCTTGATCTTCTTGAAAGATGGTGAATCTTATGCAACACCTGTGATGCCAGGTCCAGTATTGTTTGGCTAGCAGACACTACAATTACAGGCAGAGGTGTTTTGTTCCTTATTGAGCAGTTCAGCCAACAGCCTGATCCATCTGTCGTGCATCCAATTATAGGAGGCTGTTTTGACTCTTGGCAATGCAACAAATCTCTTACTAATAATTAAAAGATGAGCCTATGAAACTTAAACATGTCTTTACACTTCACTGTTCTTAACCTAAATTGACAGGTCTGCATGTAGTGATAGCCTTTTTGTCAAGTAAGCTCTTCATTACCAAGTAATAGGATCACTGTGGAGCTATTAGGGTCTCATAGTTGCAGGATTTGTCCCCTTCTGAAAAGACACAACGGATGCAAGAGGACTTCTCTTGTGTTGCAGAAGTGCAAGCACTGCACATTAGCAGTGAAGGCATTTGTCAAGACTTTCAGGCCTAGCTGAAAAAAAAAAAAAATTATTAGGGACCCGGAAAGTCTGTCTTTTAGTGTTTAATACACAGGGATTCCTAATTTTAATGGAAAACAGACTGATCAAGCTTCTAACAGAGGGACAGTCTTGAAATTCTTGGTAGCACATCTCTGAACATGAAATGAGGACATTAGTGGATGATTAAGACCTTTACAATTGATTGCCAAAGCAATCTTGTGAACTTGGACATCTCTTTAATGTTTAGATGCAAAATGCCTTAATCCCTTTGATCACTTGGAATCGTCTAAATACTCCATTTGCTGCTGTTCTGCATGGAGTTTCCAGATGGAGTAAGAACAGCTATTAATTTCTGAACTTCCACTTCAACAGCTTACCGTAAGACTTTAGATACTTCAGGCACCTCCAGTGTAGCAAGAAACTGCTATAGACAGCTTAGCCTCACGTTCTGTATATCAAATATTATTGACATTAATAACACATATTGACAGACATCAGTTTCAGAAAATGTGAATATTTTATGTGACCCTACCTATGTAGAGTAAGCGTGTTAAATTCTGGGTGAGGAATCGTCTATAAGGAAAGCAGTACATAGGCTAACTGTACTGTATGTCCTCACTGAATGTTATTTCAATCCTGGTTGTTCATCTAGAATATTACTACCTAAAAGCGAGGTTGGCACCAGCCAAGGATGGGTGCCTGAAATTGCTGTATCTTTAGCCAAGCTGAGAGAGGTAGAAGAACTCTGCTAGTTGGAAACTTCTTACTGCTGTTACAGTGCATCTTAAATTGACGAATTTTAAATGGTCATTTCCTATTTTCATCCCAGCTTTCAAATATTGTAGTTTAAAAGTGTAAGTGATCTCTGCAATTACAGCAATGCATTCAAATGGTCATTCATGTCTGTGTACATTTCCTGACTTTTCCTTTGACAATTACAGTATTCAGGTCAATGTTAGCAGATAATAGTGGTGTTACGTGTAAGCTGCGCTTCTTGTCCTTTCTAAATAAGTCTGGCAGTGCACCTGCTATATACTCAGCTCAGCCTCATGCATAACTTCACGTTCAAGTTCTAAGATTTAGGGATTAAAAAAAAAATCTGGAACAGATAAACAGAAAAAAACCCATTTAATAATGTTTTCTGTATGCTATATGGACACTTTACTTCAAGCTTGGTGATTAAAACAGATGCACTTACAACTTCTTCTGTCATCAAAGCTTAATTCACTCAAAGATGCAGAAGACTGGAAATACATACTTGAAGAATTAGAACAAACTTACTTTGCCAAGCTGTGCTGTAGCTGGGATTTTTTTTTTTAACTTCTCATTAATTAATTCTCATTTAATTTTTTGACCTCTTATCCTAGATGCAGGAAGGAGCAACCAGCTGCATCTGGTACCCGAATTTATGAGTGAGTGAGAGGCCCTTTGTACTACAAATGGCCAGTTCAATTGGGGGATGACTTTTTGAAAGTATTGTGTACAGGGTGCTTTGGGAAAAGCCTGTTTGCCTTGTTATGCACTAGGTGAGGACTTCTTTGGTTTTCCGTATCTAACCCGTTGTACCTCTGCACCTGAGCATCGCAGTCCCTGACCAGAGGGGAAGCTCTGTCAGCCTGTCCTGTAAAAGCGTTATGCAAAAAAGTGAGCTACAGTGTGAGAGAGGCAGTGGCAGCAGCTCAGCTCAAAAAGCCACATGGCAATCTGCAGACACAGACTAGTCCATGGTCTCTTACACGTTCAAAGCTTATTTCACACTGCAAAACTCTTCTCTTTACAAAAGCAAAACAGGGCAAGTTGAAGCCTGGTCAGTTTACTGCTTTCTCACTCACAAAAGAAAATGTTATTCCACCTAGAAGATCTGCAGGTGGGAAATGTAAGTGTGATATGCAGATTCAAGAAAACACTAGTGAGATCACTTCATGTTTTCTTACAACACAGGAGAGCACAGGTGGCTTCTCAACAGCAATTTCAGAACTGTATTTGTAAATACTAAATTTCAAAGTAATGCTGTTTTAACTTTTCTTCCCAGATAGACGATTCATTGGTGGGCTAAGTTTGCAAAGGACTCGACATCTTTCACAATGAAACTGTTTAGTATTTTGCCACCCCGCTGGTGTGATGTTGTCAGTATTTTATCTGACCTCTCTAATCATTATAGACAGCGTCCTCTTCAGTGCCTGTGTGTAGTTCCTTGTTTAACAACCTTTCCTAGCAATGTCTTAAAATGTGTGTTAATATCCTGGGGCAGTGTAAACAATTGGAAACGTAAGTGGGGGAACTTTGACCAGCTCGGCATTGTTTCAAAATCAGTTCTGTCTCATGAAGAATTACAGTTTGTCTTCAGAGCTTCGGGAAATTCCTTACAGCCAAAAGTAGCAGCATAGGCGCAATAAACAGGATTCAGTCCTTGCAATTAATTTTTTAATGTAATATTGTAATTAGACATTAAATTTATTATGTTGAAGGATGCTAATGGCTGCTCTGTCTGTAATAGGAGACTTGCCGTAGCCAAAATACAGGTGTCCTTCAAAACCATGATCATTTCCTTTATGGTTTGATCTTAGAGGCTTGGTTGGTTTGTTGTTTTTAAGAGTGGTAGAGGCTGTAGATTTTATTAGCCACAAAAATGTGTTCGTGCTCAGCATGAAAGCATACTCTTTTTTACTTTGACCTTGGCTAGCAGAGCCAAAATCTCAACAGGTCAAAACAGCTCCATCAGACACTGCTGCTTTCATGTCTAATTAGCTTTGCAAGTCGGGATGTTTCTACAGTAGTCACAAACATTTTACCTTTTAGGTTTCTTCTTGCTTTCCTTGCCAATCTCTTCTGAGGTAGAATTGTTATTTTTGTTATGAGACAGTCCTTGACTAACACTCAATGGTTTCCAATTCAATCTCTTCAGTTGTACTTGCTGCAAATAAAAGGATATTATTATTGATTGGCAAATGGATTGGAAGGCCAGCGTTCCAAAATTAACAACGCTGTGTTAATAGCTGAGACATTTTGAACTTTTTAGTATTAGCTTAAGCTTACTCATCTATAATTAGGTTTTAAATACATCTTTTCAAAATATTTAACTGCATAAAAAGTCCCTCACAATCTTTAAAGTGACACTGGTTTCTTCCCATACAAGACTAAAGGCACTATGAAAACTGAAGTCCATAAGGCCAGTCCTTACACCTCTCTTCATGACTTTTGAAAGGAGGGCTCTTCTAAGGTGGAATTGGGGCATAAGTTAGGTCCCTGCTTTGGATCATGTTCTGGGAGATGACAGAGCAGGTCTCCAGAACTGTGGTTTTCCTAAGTCTGACAAATAAGTGTATTTGATTCAGACTTTGTAAAACTCTGGCTCTGTAGGAAGATTGGCTTTAACTGGAGGAAGGAGAGGCTTTATCCAAACAAAAGCCTGTATATTCTGGCACGGTAGGAAAATTTTCAGTAGCTACAGAAGCTTGTTGAGTGGTGTGTGCACCGTGAAAACAGCAGCAGCCCTTAGAGCTGTAGGTGAGTGGCAGAAAGGAAGAGACAGCTCGAGCCAAATTCATCTCTTCTCGTATCGGGCTTTGCAGAGTTGACACAAAGTCTGGGCCATGAGGCTTAAGATTCTTGAATACCTGTGTTGGTCTAGTAAAATACTGATACTTAGGCTGCTTGTAGTAATGTAACAGCTTAAGCAGTCCTTATTAGAGAAGAAATACAACCTTTTACCTGCAGGGCAAGAAACCACTAGTGGATCTGCACTTACGAAGAAGGGAGGTAAATACCCGAAATGTTTTGAAGTGGTAAAAGAAACCTCCTGTTCGAAGGATGTGCCCAGAGCTTGAGCCGAAGCCCGTAGCGTCTTGCTGCCTAGGCTCTATGTCCCTGGCTGTGGCTTAGAAGTTTCTTCTCTAATACGTGAACGTTCCCTTCAGTGCAGCCCTTGATCTGCTTTTCATGACTGGTGTCTCTGACATGTGTTAGGAGTCTGCTTTTGATATTAGTCAGTGTTCGCTGAAGTCCGCAACTGGATCAAACGTGAGGACAGATGCAAGGGGGGTTTGAGAGGAGAAGAAGAGGTGCAGTCCTCCATGCAGTGAGGTGGGAGCCACTCCCAAGGGTCATTTGAGTATTTTCCCCTAGGAGATGCCCTTCTGGTGCAGACCTTGAGAGCGTTGGTGATGCTCTTGACTTTGTCTCCTGCCCTCTGATAGGGGGTTATTGCAGCTCTGGCCTTTTCTCCCTAAGTTTTGCAGTTAGCAGTGTTGGGAAGTGTTTTGTGGTTTCTGATGTAAAATGTTTAAGGTAGATGACCTGTGAATTGTTCTGCAACTAAATACCTATTATTCAGTTACCTCTGCTAGTAAAGAGTTGAACAGGATAACTGAACTGAGCCCTTCCAGTCTTGTTTCTCAGTGTCCCTGCTTAGCACCTTTACGGCTCAAATCACAAGTGAATTTTAGGCTCAAAATTCAGACTTGAAAACCCCATACCTTGACTGCATTCTTACAGAGATACCTGTTAGTTTGTGTGTCGTCTTCTTCTGGAATAGGTGCAGAGATTTATTACACAGCCACATGAAGCAGATCAAAATGGCAGATACTGCAGCAAGAAATGCAAAGAGAACTGCTACAAAATGTAGATCTTCATAGATAATCTCTGCAGGGAGGACAGAAAAAAATTAATATTATAGAATTGATTATGAGCAGATTAATGTTTAAACACAGGGTAAAGCCAAGAACTCCCATCTAGTTAGTACCATAAACGTTGACTATGATGGTGCCATAGGTGTTGGTTCCATACTCCTCTGTTACAGTAATAAAATAGTAGCCGGCATCTCTCATGCCCACGTTCAAAAGCTGTATAGAGCCATTTTCAAAAGTAGTCACTCTGTCCTTGTACACCGTGGATATGTTGACATAATTCCCACTTTTCCACTCAGCAATTTTGGTGGTGCCCCAGCTCGACACATGCTTCCACTCAATGGTGGCGACGCCTCTGCAAGAGTATTCAACGGAGAGCAAGATGTTTTGTGCCACTGTTGCGTTGATGTTGGGTTGTGGGACAACTAATGATACTACTCCGGGAGCTGAAAGAGAAAGGAGGGCAATGAGTGAGCAGGTGATGCTGACCAACTGTCCTGGGCAGGATGGGACCTCTGAGGGGCGATTGTCCTACCTATCTCAGTGGTCTGTTTTAAGAGAGGATGGATTATGCTCTGCAGTTTCTCTCTCTTTCTACTGACCGTAAAAGGAACATACATAGACAATTAAAGACTAGATACACATTTTTAATTGGTGATAGTCAAGAGAAACATTTCCACCACACAGGACAAGTAATTGCCTGTGTTTCAGTGTTTTAATACCAAAGAGAGAGTTTGGAAGAGTCTTTTTGGGGAAGGGAGCATAACATTTTCTGAAAACGCTGAGCCATGCTTTTGTATTCATCAGTAACTGGTTTTCCTTTAAAATCCTGCATTTAAATGGAAAGTTTAATTGCCATGGCCAAGGTAACCTATTATATTAATTAATTACCATCCCCCAAAAGCAGGAACTGTAGCAGGCTTAAGTATGTGAAGACTTGGTAAGGACTTCATCATGTTTTCAGGATGCGTAATCAACGTTTGAGACAACAGCTTCGTAAAGGCAGCAGTTATATGCCAGTGCAGATAAATCGCATGTAACCAAAGGTACCCAGTTTCACATGAAGTCAGGGACTTCATGTTCCTGATGATTTCCAGGCAAAAATGCACGTGAAAGAATATTTAATTCTCACCTAGTTCCTACTGATGCGATTATGGAGCTGTTCATAACATTGTCAAACTGAACTGACCATTTAGTTTAATATGTAACTGCAATAATTTCTGCTTGCATGTGGGTATTTCTGCATGAAGATTTGGATGAACACCAAACACCCAAGTTTCAATTGGCGTACATTTTTTTTTTTATAATTAGTGGCATGTTTGAGACACTTGGCTAGAGACTAAAATCCTGTTATCTACCCGCAAAAATCAAGCCAGACAAAAGGCAGATAAAGCACAGAGTAAGCCTCACCGCTGAATGCCTTTTCCTGGTTTGGCTTGGGGCAGCTCACCCGCTCTCCTCTTACTGTGGGAACAGCCTGACTGCAATAGCAGAACTGAAAAAATAATGCTGAGCTGCAGATCTCTCTAAGCCAGCAGGGAGGGAGGATGGGACCCTCAGCTACACTGAAGGAGTGCAAAGCAGGACCCCTGGGGATGCTCCTGGAGGTTCTGCAGAGACTTCAGGGAAAAGAATGGCTAAAAAAGGCAAAGAAAAAAAATCTCCAAGGGAAAGAAATTCTTTTAAAAAATCTTATTAAAAAATAAGAACCCCCCATGACCAGCAAAACCCCAGAGCAACCACAAATGGGGAGAGATGGGTAAAGGAATTACAAGCCAGCTTCACTCTGTGATCTGTAGCAGAATTTGGAAACTCTGCTGGTCGAGATAAGGCAGGGAATCTCGAGAAGCCAGCATGATTCCCAGGTCCTCGCCTATGGGTCCAGCACAGAAGAAAGCCCTAGCCGCTATATATTTGTTAACCAGATGGGATCTGCTCTCTTTCCAGGGTAAGACTCCTGGGATTCCCCCTTCATGGAATGTCATGCCTGTGCTGCCGGGTCCCCTTGGCAGGGACACCATGTTTTCCAGGTAGCCCGGTGCATCTTCGGCTAAGCTGTGGTCTGCCATTCAGCCTGTGTGCAGGAGAGACTAACCAGAGCTGTGAAAAAAGGGGTTTGTGCCAGCTAGAGAAACAGAACAGACGGGAACCTCTGGTAATCGCTGCAAATTGTTCTAATTGTTTCTGTTCCATGTGTTTATGTAAAGGCCTTTTGCTCTGTTTCTGACTAGACGGGAGCTGAGTGTCTCACCACAGTGACCCTTTTATGTTTTGATAAAGGCATGGCTTTGTTTTGAATATGTGATTGCAAGGTAAATACAAAAAAAAAATCCTTCCATTATTTGCAAACGTGTCCCTATCCAGCACACAAAGCCAAAAATGGCAATGCAATAACCATTCAAAAATATTTTTAATATGCAGTTCGCCTAGATTACCTGAACTGGTCTAATCCAAACAAAGCTGCGTTGGCCTTGAGAGCAAACATCACACCCACCTGCAGCACCCCGTGCAAGGCCACTGCGCTCTGCTGGTTGCAAAACCAGACCCTTCACGCACAGTAAAACATGCACCGAGGAGAAGAGGGTACTGGTGCTGCTCGAAGTGCGGCGAGTTTGCTGTCCCTGGCACGCTGCTGCACTCCGAAGTATTCGCCTGGCTGAGAGTCAAAGCTGGAAGCGCGGCTCTGTGTACCAGACCTGGCTGTAGCAATGCAGCTGGGCCTGCAGCGTGCTGGGGAGCGGGCGGAAAAGGGCTGGCAGCGAGGAGCCTCCATGCAGGAGCTCTAAAATGGGGGGGGGACAGCTCTAAAATGGAGCTCTTAAACTCTGGGGACAGTTCCTCCACTCTTCGGTGTCCTGCTTGTGCATCACCTTGATGATGAAGGAGATGCCATGACGTGTCCAAAGCAAATCCACTGGTGGCACTGCCCATCCCAATTCCCAGGCGTGGGGGGTGGCTGCAGCCTCCTCTAGCCCCCGCTTGGAGAGGGCTGGCCAGCTCTCTGCGTGCTGCCCCGTCCCCACTCGCCCCCCGCGCGGTGCTGGGTTAAAATCCACCCTCCCTCTTCACCACCGCGTTTCCCAGCGTGACCCGAGCCCTTTGGGGCTGGTTAACCAGTATTTCTTTCCTCCTCCTTGCTTCCCCTCTGTTGTTGGGAATGCAGGGGGGAA